GGCCCAGAAGCCCCTGGGGGAGGCGTCTGTGGGGGAGAAGAGCCGTGAGTGGTCCCAGGCCCCGCCTGCAGCAGGGCCTGTGCTTTGCACAGCGCAGCCCCCACACCTATGGGACAGCCACGATGGGCGCCGGCTCAAGGGCCGCAAGCCCCACCCTCCCTGGCTCAACAGCCTGGGTGCCAGTGGCCACGGAGCCCTGTGCTTGCCAGGCCCAGCTGGGTGGTGCGTTGGTCCCACTGCCTCATTGGCCACAGGGAGGATGGAGAAGGGCTCCTCCTCCCTTCCATCTCCCTCTCCCTGCCCCCGCACCTCCTGGATGCCCACCCCACGCTCCCCTCACTCCAGTTGCTGTTTCCACAGCCCCCCTATATTATGCACCCTCAGGGCCTCAGACCTCACCCAACTCACCTCTCCGCCAAATATGGTTCTCACGATCGATCCTTATTCCCCCCTCCCCCAGCAGCCTGCAGCCCCTCCCCGCCCCACCTCACCTCCCAGCCGGCTGGGGTCTGACTGGGCCCCATCAAAGGATGAGCACAGGGCGCTGGCCTTGGTTCTGTCCACAGTGACGATGCGCACCAGCCTCTGGGGGCCTCCAGAAGACGGCTGCAGGGAGAAGGGACCAGTTGTCCCCGCCGTCCACACAGGGCCGGGCAGGCACCGCCCCACCGGGGGCTCCAGGCTGGTCCCCGGACCTTCAGGCTGTGCCCACAGAACAGCCCAGGCCCCGTGCCAGGGAGAAGAGAGCAGGAGAGGGTCCTGGGGCAGAGGCCCTCGCCCAGGGCACGGCAGCGAGGGCGGCCCCCACACCTCACCCGCTGTGATGGAGCCGGGGGGGCTCCTTGCTCGGGGCACTGAGTGTCCTATGTGGGGAGGACACCAGGTCCCCGCCCTCCGAGGGAGTAATGGGTGCACATGGCCAGGCAGTGGGTGCAGGGGCACAACCAAGAAAGCACATCCAGCACCTCTGCTCGCGGTGAAGGAACCTGCAGGCCGGGTGCCCTGTGGGGCCCAGGGGAAGGTGTGCAGGACCCCTGGGGCAGGGACTCGCAGGGAGACCCCTCAGATCAGTAGCCCACACCCTCTCAACAGGACCCCTAGCCAGGCCCCACCCCTCTGCCAGCCCAGGGAGGAAGGAGGGAGGGCCACCCCCCCCAGGGCCCGGGTCAGGACCCGGCAGCGGCCTCACCTTGCGGGCGGAGCTGCTCTGCTGAGCCAGGTCCTGCAGGAGGGCGATAAGCAGCTGCTGCGCCCTGGGAGGAGGAGACACCGCTGCCAGGAGGCTCCACACCCACCCCTGCCCAGCGGCGCCTCTGAAACCCTGCAAGCCCGCAGCCCACCGGAGGTGCCCGCTGATATCCCGGGTATGAGCCTGGGTGGGACATGGCTCCTGGCCTCCCTGCACCGCTGAGCTGAGCGGCACCACCCCGACACCACGCTCGTGTGCACTGGCTGACCTGGGACACGGCTCCCGGCAGGCGGACGCTGCTGGGGGGAGGGGGGCGGCCCTGCCCCATCTGTCCCAGGACAGGGTCCCAGGAGGTGGGACTTCCTGTGCTAAAACCAACAGTCCTGGACACACCAGGTGACTGGTGAGCCCACCTCCTGGGGACACTGGCAATGTCTGGAGACACTTTTGGTTTTCACAGGTCGGGGCCAGCATGAGGCCAGGGAGCTGCTCAGGCCGGCGGGCCAGGCAGCCCCCAGCAGCGGGGCTGTCCCCAGGTCGCAGCACTGAGGCTGGAAACGCTGGCCCCGAAAGCTCACAAACAAACCCTGTCCACTTGGGGTGGCACATGGGGATTCCACTCTGGTCGTGTCCCCTCCCCGGGAGGTGGCCGTCCCTACGGCCGCTCACCGTGCGTAGGTGGGGATGGTGCCGCCCTCCGCGTCCCTGGTGCTGTAGGGGCCCACGCGGTGGGCATGCCAGCAGCCGCGGCCCTGGAACATGGTGTCAGTGACGTGCAGGATGTCGCCGCAGTGCACGGGCAGCTCCCCCTCTGCCCGCCCCTCCAGGACCAGGTTGACCCGGATGTAGAAGGAATCCCCTGAGGTGGCCACTTTGGCCGCCAGGTCCTGGACCAGCTTCTTATAACCTGGTGAGAGAGGACAGATCAGCCCAGGCCGTGACCCACAGGAGGAAGGTTCTGGAATGTGAGAGGAGGAGGGACAGAAGGTACCGCCCCAAAGTCTCGGGAGCCATCCTGGTGCCAGCACCAGTGGGTGGGAGGTCCCGGCTGCCTTGGGGGCCTCTGAAGACCGGGGGTGCGGCCTGGCTCTGGGGTAGGCCATGGGGGCTGGGGCAGGCACGGCCACGGCTCAGAGTCAGGACTGGGCGGCTGGGCAGGTCCTGAGAGGGGAGCTCCTGGGGGTGGGGTCGGGGGGAGTGTGTACCCTCCGTGTTGACCTTCACAGACAGGCAGCAGAAGCCGTCCACCCTGCGGAGAAGACCCACAGCCTGCTCCAGGGTCACGCCCTGCAGGACGGCCTTGAAGAAGGGCTCCGTGGCCTCGCAGTCCACCTGTGGGAAACCACCAGGGCGGGCCGCTATCGACCAGGTTCGGCGGCGGAGCCTGAGCGCAGATCTGCACTCACCCCCACTCCAGCCATCCACACCCCCCAGCCATTCACACCCC